GGCTTGCATGTTGACTTCATCCCTGGTGTCACTTTCTTTTCAATTTGAATATATCCAAAAGGATAAAGGGACCCATCAGCTCTTTCAACAAAATCTCTAAAATTCTGAGCATTGCCTCCAATTTCAAATTTTCTGAAGAAAAGAGAAAAACACCAATTCATCCATTAATACTTTTAATCAGGCATATTCAATACAATGCTACAAATCTTCTTTCTTTTTCCAGTCTGAAAAAGAAGAGAGGCAAATACATATATTATAATAAATTATATGAAAATAAAATACTTCAGCAATACATTAAAAACTCAAATTTGTCTAAAATATAATGAATGAAACAAGAGGTCCATTGGCCACATACCTCACCTGAGCACATGGGCTAGCTAAAAAACACAGATCAGTTAAGTATTGAGAAGTTTACTTTATACTTTATTGGGGGAGCGGGATTTGAATTTTCTATTACTTGAAAATGTCACTATTACAATACAGCATACATATATTATTTTGCCATATTTGAAAAGAAGATTTTTAAAGATTTTTCCAACACATTACCTGATCTCCCATTGTGACCCCTCGCTAACCCACAATCCCTGGGGCATTATTTGAATAAATATAAATTTTTACTACTTGCAGATCATGTCAATTCGACAAAACAATTTTTTTTTCTGTTCTGGAGAAGATTCTTTTTCCTATGTATTCTTATGCAAGTATGTGATCCCTCATTGTGGCCACACCCTAACCCTGGGGGTCATGATTTGAACAAATTGAATCTACATCTGGTACCTATGGATGCTTCCACACCACGTCATGAGATTTATCATTCCTGTCCTAATGGTTCTGAAGAAGATTATTAAAAGGTTTTTCCTTTGCATTCCTATGTAAAATTTTGGTCGGCCATTGTGGCCCCATCCAACCCCCGGGGGTCATGATTTGATCAAACTTGAATCTACACTACCTGAGGATGATTCCACATAAGTTCGTCGAAGATTAAAAAAAGGTTTTTCCAATGCATTTCTATGTAAAACTTGGGAACAAATTTGAATCTACACTACAGGGGTCAAGAGGTTATAGATGTGCGTATCGATAAATGTTCAACGGAATTTATCAGTGACGTCATAAAGGGTCGACACGCATTCAGTGTCTTGTATACATGCCATTGGTTTTGAAAAATAATGCATCTTGCATTTTTTGCATTTTGCATTCCCCCCCCCCCCCCCCCCCGGGTTGAAGAGGCTTGAAAGTACACTATCTGAGGATGCTTCCATTTAAGTTCCATCTTTCCTGGCCCAGTGGTTCTTCAGAAGAAGTTGAAAAGTGAAAAGTTAACAGATGGACAGACAGACACTGAACAAAATGTGATCTAAAAAGTTCACTTGAGGTCTCGGCTCAGGTGAACTAAAAAGCTACTAGTATTTAAAAATAGTGTTGTCACGATGATCGATTTATAATCGATGATCGGTCGGACAGGCTGTCGATTTTAGACAATCAATTGGAGATTTTAACAATCGATTAATCGGTATATTTCAGCACATATCTTTTTACAGTTTTCTCACTTTTATTTCAAGAACAGGCTCTTATTATCAAATTATATATCTTTCAAGAGTTGTCCTTTACTATTTTAAACTGTTTATTAAATAAATCATAAGATAATGATATTTATAAACTGAAGAAACTAAACTACTTGTATAAATGAAATATATTAGTTTTCAGTGTTTGGGAAATTCACCTGTCATTTCATACGGAACACAGGGATTTGCAATAATAAATGTCTCATAACAGTTTAAAAAAATAATTCCATATACATAATGTACATTTTAGATGATCATGTAAAACCTGATCTGTGAAAGCTTACTTTTCCCAGGCCAAGTTATTTTTAATCATGCAAAAATCTGTATTACTGAAATTGTTAATCAAAACTGCATATATACTGTTTTTAGCATTTCAATTTTTACAATGCACTTTTACTTACATTATTTAAAAATAAAATTCTAAATTTTATAAAATCTAACGCCTATTTGATGCAAAGGGTTACCGATTCGATTATTGGCCGATAATCAGTTGGTTAGGGTCAACCGATGCTACCGATTAATCGATTCTGATTTTCAACTGATTTGACAACACTATTTAAAAACTATATACTTCAATATATATTACTATACAGTGAGACTGGCAAACAGACATTGTGTTTCCAGTATACTTTCACAAAAATTTAGGGGTGACATATTAAATGGTTTTAAATATTTGATATGTGTTCAGAATAAATGCACTTTACCTGGTATTTTGAAGATTGCTTAAGGTGATATTCACTTTCTCGTGATTATCATGTTCACGTCAGCAAGACTTCATACTGATCAGTTAACCTACAATTATAAAAAAATAATTAATAAAAAATCATTTATTTAAAATGTAATATCTTCAACATATATGACATTCATAGATAGAAACCAAATTTTATGTGCAGTGTCTGATTCAAAGCAAACTTTTAGTACAGTGAAAGCAACTTGGCTTTCAATTTGTCTCTTTAGCATACACTCTAGATCAAGTTATTATAATAAAATTTTTTCTAAATGAAAATTATGAATACACTATGTATATACTATTTCATAAATGACCTTATATTCCTGCATGGTTATCCTGAAAAACATCAATTCAAGGAGGCACCAAGGAATGGTATATAGAGGCTGTAGTCTGTTTTTTTCTCCATGTCTTGCATACAAGTATCTTTTCTGTAATATGCAGTAAAAGAAAAAATCTTGATATAATAATGCTTATTAAATGTTTCTGAACAAAATACTTGACAAGTGTCAAGTAGTGACAAGTACTTAACTGGTATTTTAAAAAATCAGTTGGGGTGTGTGAATGTAAATTTCACTGTCATTAAATTTACTGTGGGAATTGTTTACATTTTGTTCCACTTTCAATACCTGTTTTGTGTTCCTTTGGCATTATAATTTAGGCAGCTGGGTTCCTCCGAGTCTCGACGACAAAGTCCGATTTGATACATTTCAGGAGTGCGAGTCAGATGTGATACCGAATTCCAGCTGTTTAAAATACAATAAAAATAAATATCAAATCGGGTTTTTTTCTCTGATAATGATGAAACAAATTAAGATGAACTGTTAGAATCGGGAAACACCGCTCACATTGCATGTTTAACTGGTTATTGTTAACTTGTACACGATTTCTACTTTCACTTTCGAATTTTCTCCGTATTGTACGTAGGGCGGCAGTACTACAGCTGTACCGGTAGGCTTCAGTGTTCAAACAAATTTAACCAACTGAACAATAAATAGACCTAATAAAAATAGTAATGCTGATATACAAATATCCAACATAGCAGAGATCTGGCACGTCGTTCACAGCCTACGACACAGTAGCCTGCAAGGACTGTTGAGTAATTAGGCCCCTATGCGTTATGTTGCTGTACATAAAATTCAAACATTTAGGCAGGGACCTATATACTATATATAGGTCCCTGATTTAGGGATTATTATGAAACTTTCAAAAACGTAATATTACAAAGACTACAAAATACTTACTTTTAACAGAGACTTGACAAATCCTTTTTCACTGTGTTTTCAATTTCTGTTACAGCTGATGACGTCAAACATGACGTACAGTTTCGTCCGATAAAAACAAAACCGATCCTGATAAAAGCTACGGACCATTTTTAGCCGGAAAAAAATCCAAATCCAAGTTGACATTTTGAAAGATAGACATAAACCTTATAATCTAAGTCTAGATAATTTACTTTTTTAAGAATGTATGAAAAAAATGGATGAGGTGAAGAGGGTGCTAACAGTTAGAGCACCCCCCTTTTCCCAAACCCACACGTGTAACACAACCTTACACAAACACACACGCACTTGTGTCGGAAATACATATGGACATCTTAATAATTAATTAAATGTCACTAAAATGATTGGCAAGTATTGTTTAAAGTTAGGTCTAAAATTTGAATAATAACATAAATCTCTTGTTATTCTAATTATATAACATGAAATTAACATTAAAGAATTAACGTTAAATTCACGTTAACATGAAATTAACATTAACTAATTAACGTTAATCTAATGTTAATATTTTGGTTCTAGTTTTTAAAGACACCCAAGCTCACTTAAAATTTTAATGTTAATTTAATGTTAAAAATTAACATGAAATTAATGTTAAGTTAAATTAACATTAAAAATTAACATGAAATTAATGTTAAGTTAAATTAATGTTAGAAATTAACGTTAATTTAATGTTAACCTTTTTAATGTTAACTTAACATGAAAGTAACATTAAACTAACATCAAGCTAACGTTAATTTAATGTTAATTGAGATTAACACTAAATTAACGTTAGGCACAATTGGCTGTGTATAAGGAATAAGACATTAATTGCACACCTAATAACACTTTACTTTTAATCAAGTACCAGGTAAAATAATAAAACAAAATGAACTCTCTTGGACGATTTTCTTTCTTTCTTTTTTTTTATAGATATATAATCTTTTTTCTTTTCTTTTTTTTTTTTTTTTGGGGGGGGGGGTGTCTTATGAAGTAGCATAAAATATTATTAAAGATTAAAACAATACATCCTATATGAGAATAATTTTATTCTGGTTACAGAGTAAAATTAAAACCAGAAAAAAAAATTGTGACCTATTTTCGTGCGTTTTGGTGTTTTAGTCTAACCCGACCTAATTTCACATTATGTATACGATCAGGAAATGACCTACATTTACTCTTTTAATATGTACATGCTTCTGGTATAGCATGATGTGTTTAAAATGGCATGAAAGTTATTAAAAAAATAATTAAATTAACACTGCTACAAGTTAAACATGGATGACTGTTAACTTCTAATATGTACTTGTATATAGAACTTTACATTTCATACGATGTTAAATCAGATTCTTGTAGATTCCATGCGAGATTTTGAGAACCACGGTAAACATGGTATATACCTTGTAGAAATGTTAAACTTCAACACTGGTAAATAAACACTTCAATACTAGTATATATATGTACATGTACTAATACAGTAACTAGTTATTCTTAAATAACCCCCCTCACATAATGGAGTTATTAATTAGTATAGATGTTATAATTATACAATACAATCAAACAAACTACAATATTACTTACCAGTCAGAGAGTCTGTATCTACCACTCTGTATATGTTGACTGTGTTGTTGTCGTGTGCCCCTACCCACAGTAGCTGTGTGTCCTCATCATAACTCAGGCCCAGTGGTCTGTTTATCCCGTGTTGTGATGTGTCTATCTCTGTCAGATAGTGACCATCACAGTCTAATATCTGTACTGAGTCGGTGTAACGATCACACAGCAGGATGTGTGACAGCGCGTCAGTACAGATTCCACTTGGTAATAGTACTGATCCTGATGTATGACATGTGTAGGAGAATCGGTAATTACCGTCACGATCTGTTACCACTACAGCAACACAGAGAGGGTCAGACACAATAACATCTCCATTGCGGTTCTCTGTGATGTAGAGAGGTAATCTATACAGTCCCTGACCTGTGATGATGTCGCGGGGCTGTATGGTCTGGATGTTTTCTCCTGTGGAGTTATACCGCACTACCTGGCCTGTATATGTCCATGTATCACGTCTATACATCACGACCAGCAGGTCTCCAGTGGAGGGGGAGCTGTAGACACTCCGTGGTCTCCATGGTTTGTTGTACTTTATTATTGTAGTCTTGTCTTTGTTCTCTGTAGACAGTTTATTGATGTTATAATTCCTGTCTATATAAATTAGATCACCATTAGAGTCCACAGTGTGTCCTCCATCATCACTACCTCTATCTGTCACATGATCTAGTTCTTCTCCTTTTGTGTTTGTCAGTATAAGATTGCCTTTAGTATCACTGATCCAGACCCGGTCTGATGTAACACGGGAAATGTGATAACACCGACTAACACCAGACACGGTGACAGATTTCTGGTACACTATTCTATACATTATTGACAGCAGACATCTATTTCTTTATCCTGATGGTTTATAACAGAATCCCGTGTGGATTTCTTCAGTCAGGGAGATCTCTCTGTAAATTACAACACAGTGTTAGAATTATCTACATCAGTAACACGTCTCTCTTAATACTTAAAGCATATATCAATGTCTTAGTTTTAATAACATGATGAATTATATTAAGATACAGTTAAACATGAATACCTTTACACTGAGTACTGAATCCTTTACAAATCTCTCTCTCTTGTAGGGTCAAACAGTTCACCATTAGTCTGTTCTAAATAATCAAAATTTGATCAATTGAAACGTTATTGACAGCTGAAGGTTTTGAATTCTTAAAAAAGTATAATATGAACTCATTTGAAATATTACATGTCAACTTTTCCAGTAGGATTCAACAACTTCACAGCACACTCAAACATTATAATTTATATTTTCTTTCTACAGTGTGTTGTGACATGTTTATAAATATAGTAACAGAGAATTGTATACCATAACCACACTGGTTTCTTGTATCTGGTAAAAACTGTATACATGTACATTTAGGCTCCATTCATCTTGTTACTGTGTTCTGTGTAAAAAAAATAAAGAATATATTACTGTTCAGCATTGTTATCTACAATATACTGCTTGTACATACAGTACTGTACATGTATATTCCCATTCACTCATAAATTATGCTATATGCAAAATTTGGCTGAAATTGGTTCAATGGTTCCAGAGAAGCTAAAAATGTTCATAAGATCATAAGATTACACTCAACAAACGACATACGACAACGGACAAAACAGATAGCAATAGAAAACCTGAGTTACTCGTGTGAGGAGGGGGGCATAAAACTTAGATGAGCTCACTTTTGATCTCAGTCTCACTTTTCAACTAAATATTCTTTTAGTAAGAGTGAGATTCATCGAGATCAAAAGTGAAGTTGTCGAAGTCTTATGACCCCCATGGTCTAATGATAAGACAAGAGGCCCATGGGCCACATCGCTCACCTGAGAAGCTTTGACCATGCTATTCTTAACCCTAATTCCCCCTTAGTTCTTGATAAGAAGATTTTGAAAGATTTTTCATATATATTTCTATGTAAAACTTTGATTCTCTACTGTGGCCCGCCCAACCCCCGGGGGGTCATGATTTGAACAATTTAGAATCTATACTACCCCTGGATGCGTCCACATATTAAGTTTCAGCTTTTCTGGCCCAGTGGTTCTTGAGAAGAAGATTTTGAAAGATTTTTCCTAGATATTTCTGTGTAAAACATTGATTCCTCATTGTGGCCCTGCCCAACCTCCGGGGATCATGATTTGAACAATTTCGAATCTACACTTCCCCAGGATGCTTCCACATAAGTTTCAGCTTTTCTGGCCCTGTAGTTCTTTAGAAGGAAATTTTGAGAAAGATTTTTTCTATATATTTCTATGTAAAACTGATTCTCTATTGTGGCCCGCCCAAACCCTGGGGGTCATGATTTAAAAAATTTAGAGTCTACACTATCCCAGGATGCTTCCCCATAAGTTTCAGCTTTTCTGGCCCTGTTGTTCTTGACAAAAAGATTTTGAAAGATTTTTCCTATACATTTCCATGTAAACTTTGATTCCCAATTGTGGCCCCGCCCAAACCCCGGGGGTCATGATTTGAACAATTTAGAATCTATACTACCCCAGGATGCTTCCAAATAAGTTTCAACTTTTCTGGCCCAGTGGTTCATGAGAAGAAGATTTTTAATGACCCCACCCTATCTTTGTCTTTTCTTGATTATCTCCCCTTGGCCCAGCGGTTCTTGAGAAGTTGAAAATGTAAAAGTTTACAGACGGACAGTAGACGGACGGATGGATAACAGACAAAATATGATTAGAACTCACAGAGTTTTAAGCTCAGGTGAGATGAAATGTGTCAAGTTTACAGAAAGGCAGACAGAGAGCATACAGACTATTATCAGAAAAGTTCATGTGATTTTGGGGGGCTCAGGTGAGCTACAATATGTAAAGTTTATAGACAGACAGAATACAAAATGTGATCAGAAAATCTCACTTAAAATCAGGTTAGCTAAAAATGTTATGAGCAGAAAAGTTCAATATTTTGTAGTTGTATATTGAGTTCATTTTATTCCTGATATTGAGTTTTTTTTTTTCCCCCTCATACTTCACATTCATGAAAAATATAAAAAAAAGGTCTTTCCACTAGTGAAATATATCTATCTTTTACATTCAATTACAAAACTTTGAATATCCTCTAGGTAAAAGAGATTTAAAAACCTGTAAGGAGATGATGCTTCCCTTTCCCTGATAATGGTTGAATATTACACTGGGGAATCTGTCAACATAAATTTAGACTATTTAATAAATACAACCTACTGTGGTTTCATCAATATTCGTGGGCATCAATTTTTGTGGATTAAAGAAAATTCACAGTTTCGTGGATACGTAAATTCGTGGATAATGGTCCTAACAGATCAAAATAATTGTCTATCCTTTCATTTTTTTTCTTTCGTCGTTATGCCTTAGCGGGAACATTGTGCAATTTACAATGTTAGGGTACGTAGATATCTTTTAAGAAAATAACTAACAGGAGAAAACTCTTTAATTATCTATTTATCTTCATTGGCTTTTCAAAAGTCGGAAACTTCAACAGTGATTTATTCCTTTAATTATAGCAGGTGTTGAATACGGACAAAAACTGTGATCCGATCATCGCAAGTTTGGAATACGGACGGTTATTAAGTTAACAGGATATCGAAAGTAACAACAATTCAGAAATTTTTCAATTCACAAAATAGCGTAAGTTACTCATTTTCACATGCACAGCGTGTATCGGGACTTGACAGAGACATTCAGACCCCTTATTTGAAGATCTCGGAACAAATACATTCACGTGCGATCATGCGCGATGGGTATAACATCCGCTTAAACAAATAATAGGAACGACAATAATTCAGCCATGAATGACAGGACTTTCGCAGCAAAGATGTATACCTATTACCTCATGTATAATAAAAATATGTTTCTAAGCAAACAGATAAAATTCAATTAGCATTAAATTGTGTTGATAATTTGTATGATTTTAGCATGTTTTTAACGACAGAAAGTTTTTAAATTAATTCTATCAGATTTTTTTTTAATTTAACGGTAATTTGTTGTTTTCACTGTACAGGTGATAATTGGGGTTTGGACACTTGAATTGTAGGGTAGTGACACATTTACGCCTGATTATCAGCCTATGGCTTTGGGGGGTATATCGCTGATTGGTATATACACTGCGTTGACAGATCTACGTGTTGTTTGTTTATATCCGTACAAAACGTTTTACTAAAATAAAATTCAGATAATTATTTAAAATTATTTCCTCATTTTTAAAAATAATTATTTTTATAAAAAAAAAAAGCCTAAGGTCTGTAAATTTAATCTGTTGAGGAAATCGGGGTAGGGCTATTTAATATATATTAACGAAAATCGGAATGGGCTTTTAAAATGTTTATCGTAAATCAAAATGGAGGCACCAAACTTCGATGAACATTTGATTTTGTGGATTGACTCAGCAACGAAATCCACGAAAATTGGTGTTCCACGAATAATGATGAAACCACAGTATGTATATATATAAATAATGAGTCCCTTAGCTTGTAAACACCAGAAGTGTTTAAGTTCAAATAATGCTTTCTAAAGATATATTTAAACATACATGTATACAAAACTTGAAGTATATATGTATATGAATACAAGTACAATGTAAATTAATGTTTACAATTGACTAGGGTCAATAAACATACATGTACCCTTGTGAGAGATTTAAAAAGAAACCTGTAAGGAGATGATTTTTTCCTCTTCTAGACAATGGGATGGCAGGATTCTAGGAAATCTGTCAAAATAAATTGAGACAATTAACCTATATATAAATAATGAAGCCTTGAGCTTGTGAAACACTACAAGGCCAAAAGAAAAAATAGTCTTGTTTCCTGCTACCTAACCTACCCATTTTTTTTAACTTTTGGGGAAAAAATTGAAATTTCAGGAATTCTATGTTAAAGTGAAAAAAAAATATATTTGAATTTGTATTTCATGACATATATGTTTAAATATGGACTTTCAGTAAATTCTGTCTTGAGTTGCAGCGATTTTTTTCCACGCATTGGGAAAGGGTCCGTTACCGGTTCAATTGGGAAAAAAACATAGAAGAAAAACAGAATTTTCTCTTATTTATGCAAATGCAACGTATTTTGCGTTTATTCCATTTTAATTACCTATTACTCTTTGTTTGAAAGAATAAGCAACAAGTACTAATTGTTTTTCATATCAACGCCCCATGTTTTCACATTTTTATGCTTTCAATTTGTCAAAATGTATAACACTAATTAACGCTGTCTAAACCACAGGTCCCTCCAAATTACGACTTTCTCTACTTTCGATTTAAGCGCTATAGTGAAACAATTAGTCAACGTGTAAACTGTTTTATTAAACAAAAAGTACGATGTCATCGTTGTCTTTTGCATAACAGTTGAATTGGGAATTTTTAGTCACTGAATTTGGAAAAATTAACGTTTTTTTTTGGCATTGGGAACGGTGCCGTTTATTGGTACCAGTTATATAAGGAAAAAAATGCTGAGTTGGGCATCTCGACTCAATTGGAACTGCTACAGGGCTACCCAACCTACCCAATATTTTTGCTCTACTACCTTAATTAATTTTTTTTAGCTTTTGGGGAAAAAATTAAAATTGCGGGAATTCTTTGTTAAAGTGAAAAAAGATGTATATATTCGAAATTGTATTTCATGCCATACTGTATATTCATTTTTTTGCGATGATCTATTTTCGCATTTTTGTGACCATTTTTAATTCACAAAAAATAAAAAGCGCAGAAATTGCAGGAATTCTATGTTAAGGTGAAAAAAAGATGTATATATTCGAAATTGTATTTCATGCCATACCGTATATACATTTTTTCGCGATGATCTATTTTTAGCATTTTTGTGACCATTTTTAATTCGCAAAAAATAAAAAGCACAGAAATTATATCCATTTCATTAAATTTCGATCATTTCATTAAATTCCTTCTGAGTGCATCAAAAGATTTAATTGGAATCACTACAGTTGAATTGGGAATTTTTAGTCACATAATTGGGAAAAATTAACGTTTTTTGGCATTGAGAACGGTGCCATTTATTGGTACCAGTTATATAAGGAAAAAAACGCTGAGTTGGGCATCTCGACTCAATTGGAACTGCTACAGGGCTACCCAACCTACCCAATATTTTTGCTCTACTACCTTAATTAAGTTTTTTAGCTTTTGGGGAAAAAATTAAAATTGCGGGAATTCTTTGTTAAAGTGAAAAAAGATGTATATATTCGAAATTGTATTTCATGCCATACCGTATATCCATTTTTTCGCGATGATCTATTTTTCGCATTTTTGTGACCATTTTTAATTCACAAAAAATAAAAAGCGCAGAAATTACAGGAATTCTATGTTAAGGTGAAAAAAAGATGTATATATTCGAAATTGTATTTCATGCCATACCGTATATACATTTTTTTCGTAATGATCTATTTTTAGCATTTTTGTGACCATTTTTAATTCGCAAAAAATAAAAAGCACAGAAATTATATCCATTTCATTAAATTTTGATCATTTCATTAAATTCCTTCTGAGTGCATCAAAAGATTTAATTGGAATCATTACAGTTGAATTGGGAATTTTTAGTCACAGAATTGGGAAAAATTAACGTTTTTTGGCATTTGGAACGTTGCCGTTTATTGGTACCAGTTATATAAGGAAAAAAATGCTGATTTGGACATCTCGACTCAATTGGAACTGCTACAGGGCTACCCAACCTACCCAATATTTTTGCTCTACTACCTTAATTAAGTTTTTTTAGCTTTTGGGGAAAAAATTAAAATTGCGGGAATTCTTTGTTAAAGTGAAAAAAGATGTATATATTCGAAATTGTATTTCATGCCATACCGTATATCCATTTTTTCGCGATGATCTATTTTTCGCATTTTTGTGACCATTTTTAATTCACAAAAAATAAAAAGCGCAGAAATTACAGGAATTCTATGTTAAGGTGAAAAAAAGATGTATATATTCGAAATTGTATTTCATGCCATACCGTATATACATTTTTTTTCGCGATGATCTATTTTTAGCATTTTTGTGACCATTTTTAATTCGCAAAAAATAAAAAGCACAGAAATTATATCCATTTCATTAAATTTTGATCATTTCATTAAATTCCTTCTGAGTGCATCAAATGATTTAATATATTTAAATGATATTTGAATATCATTTTAAAAGATAAATTTGACCTAGCTATGACATGTTTATTTTGATTTTCAGAAAGCGAAAGTAACCTAGGCGTTTTACATTCGAATACAGAATTAAAACATATTTTTTTTCAAATTTATAATTAGCAGTTGTTTCAAATAGTGGAAAAATCCCGAGATAACCGAATGTTTTTTTTCACTTTCTGTCCATGTCAACTGTCTTACAATCTCTCACCAGAAGGCGTTTGAAGCGTCTGATCCAACACCTCTGTTATCGTCTAAATTACAAGAATCTTGTAAAACAAAAATAAATCATAAATTGCTACCAACTTGGTAATATATTAAAATGAAATTAGAAATATCAATCTGTCATACTTCTTTTGTTCTTTCAAAATTTGGATATATATTAATTAAAAATAGCTTCAATATATACATGTACGGTACTATTTCCTTAAGAATTTTTACACATATTTTCATTTTGAAACCAAGGAGACAAAGTCAGGAAATATTTACTACCAAAGAGCTTAAAATACATAACATTATTGAAAAATCATACAAAACAATCAAGGTTTATACAATTTTTGTGACAAATAATTACATGACAATCCACGCTACTTTTTAGACAACAGCAGAGGTGTAAGAAGAGCGCCCCCTCTAGTGAGAGATTGAACTGTCCTAACGAGCGAGTTTGGATTATTTTAGTCTGAAATGTGTATTGAAGAGGTTCCAAGGGGGAAATTTCAGCATAAGGTCTTAGAAGAATCATTTCTGGACAGATCCGGGGCGGTGAGTCAGTAAAATACGGCAAAATATAACGAAAACAGAGGTTGAAGCGAGGAAGGGGTCCAAAATGGCGTCCTCCCTTGTGTAGTTTTAATATTACGGTATATGATTTTTTAATGAATAATTATTACACGCCGAGAGCAAGTCCCTGTGGCAAGAGCGAATTTATAGCCATAATGTACTTCCTTGTTGTCCCCCGCTTTCGCGAAAGCGAGGGGACATTAAATCTCATTCGTCTGTCCGTCTGTCCGTCGGTCCGTCTGTCTGTCCGTCGGTC